TGCTGCTTACCCCAGAGATTATAGTTTGAATCCTTCATGGGCTCATAATTGTAATATTGTTAATTAAAAAGAAAGAAAGACTTGTTGGACCCTTTGTCCTGGTGTAGCAGAGCAGCTGTGTTGAATCAAGGACACATCTAAAACCTGCAGGGCCCCTGAGACCTGGAGTTGGACACCTCTGCTTTAGACAACTTTAAGTATAATGGTTGAATCTAACAATTGTTACTTCATCAGCTTAAATGTCTCCATCTAGATGAAATTCCACAGACACAGCAATCATATTTAAACATACCTAAGCTCTTTTGCAGCATTATCTAAATTAACTTTCATTTTCAAGGTCAGCGGCAAATAAAAGTCTATGTACAAAATATCCTGTCAAATTGAATGAAAACCACCTACAAGTTTGCTTTGCACTCAAATAGACTGTGTTACGTTCCCCTGAGGGGTCTAGGCGATGAGGGGGAGGTAACAAAAAGTGTCGGGGTCAGAAAAAGGAGTCAAGGAGGCAAAAGGGCTAAATTAAATAGTTTTATTAAAGTAGCTCAACTAAAAGAGACGGACAAGCCGCTATCACCATTTAAGGAAAACAAACAAAACTCAAGCGTTGGTCAATAAAGTAAAAAGTAAGTCAAAAAGAGAGCAGCTCACTAACTGCAAATACACCAAACGCACAGCTTGCTAGCTGCAACCACACAAAGTTTGTGTGGTTGCAGCTAGTGAGCTGTGCGTTTGTATCACAAACACACAGCTCACTAGCTGTAACCACACTAATGGCACCCTGGCCCAGAGCTCACCTTTCCCTGGGCTTAAATCTCTTTAATTACTGATGTGAGCCAGCTGTGTAAAAGGGAAAGGTGGCACCTCAGGCAGAAGAGGTGATGGGACACGCCCACACAGGCACCTTCAGGAGGAGGCCCTGCTAGGGCCGTAACAACTGGAAGTTATATTTCTAGCACCGTCTTTACTTTTGTAAAATTCCCTCTTATATTTCAGTTCACACTTGAGTAAAGTGGCTTCCTCTTATGATGTATCTGGTGGTACCCAAGGGTATAACAGTGTGCAACATAGTTTATCGCTAGAATTGAACCACAATGCTGCAGACTACACAGTTTAAGTTGCAACATTTATGGAAATAATGTATTTTATATTTTTGTCCATCTCAGAGAGTGATATCATGATACTTTATTGTTTTGTTTTTCTTCATTGGGAATTAAAGCCCTTTACGTTTAGCTAGCAGGCAGGCAGACTGTGTGCCAAACAGAGACAGTTCATGCATCATTTATGATGAGCTGTTAGAAGTTTTAACTACTTGCTGCTCTTGTTATGCTCACTCAGCATAATCTGAGCTAGATGTCGAAATACCACAAAGAAAACTTTGATACCATCGTAAACATGAACAGATGAAACTGACAAAAGGATACGTGCAAGCAGGAATCATGTGGTGACTTAAACATGGCATCAGCTAAAAGGACCACCAAACCGCAGCACATGAAAATTGACTGCATTCTACATTAAATTGGCTGTTAGGTTTAATTAATCCTGAACTGAAGATGCTGAAAGAGTGTTGCAGATCTTTACTGTTCACATTAATCACTGGGTTTAGTAAAAACAATTAAAGATCACGTCCGTATGCAAACATAACTGCTTCTGCTTTTTTATAACCCTGTTTTCTTGGGTGCAAAGAACGCGAGTACCTGCTGAAGATAGTTACGCTTCAAAGTTGTGCTTCTTGTAGCTACATTTAGCGCCATCTCTAGTAATTAAAAGGCGTGCTCTTTTGAGATCAGCTGACTGACTCGGCCATTGTAGAACGTCCCATTTCTTAGCCTCGAGAAGCTCTTGGGTCACTTTTGGCGCATGCGTTGGGTCCTTTGTCTGAACCTGAGCAGAGACTGCAGCCCTGTACGCTTTCATCTTACTATCAGCAGTCACACCTCAATAAATACTAGAATTTGGTTCCATTGGCAGCCATCTGTGGTCATGCGATAACGCTGCTTCCACCATGTTTGACAGATGATGTGACATACTTCTGATCATGAGTCGTTTCTCTTCTTATCCACACTTTTGTCCTTAAATCATTCTGGTTTCATCTGTCCAAAGATGTTTGTCCTTCTTCATTTTTAGTGAATGCTTTTAAATAAAAAGTCAACACTTTGACCAACTTCAGCGTAGGCTTCAGCTGCCTGATAGTCAGTTGTCCATTTCATTTTGAAAACCTGAAAGTGTTTAGGAAACGACCGCATTTCCTAAACACTCTTTTTGGTAAAACCTGTTTGATTAGAGTTGGCAGTCTGCACTTCAATTTAATTCAAATAAATTTTATTCATACACCACCAAGTCTCAATAACAGTTGTCTCGACGTGCTAATTGTTCAATCAATTGTTTGATTTAAAACCCTGTGGTAGCGTATAGTGCAAAACTAGAAAAAGTGTGTCTTTGTGCAACAGATTGTGGACCTAACTGCAGATTATTTTTCTTTGCATCTGTACTGAAATACAGTCTGGACAGTTTAAGGCAGAAACAATAAAACAAAAGGTCAAATTATACGAAAATATCTTACATGAGTCAAAACGTCTAGAGAAATAAAACCTAAAATAATTGACCCTAAAGAGGAAGAAAAGGACAAAACAGGATGTCAACAGGTTTGTCATCAAAAAATAGAGGAAGAGAAATCAGGTGGTTCTTAGAAAATCTGTTGAGTTTGCACAAGTTGGGAAAAATTTACAGTGAGTCTGTGATATGAAGCAGAAGTAACATCCAGAGCAAATGAAGCAACTCAGAGATACAATGAAACATTTTGCAATAACCAGGAGATGAAGAAAACCACACTTTGCATTTTTATGAAAAACAACCTCGGGCAG